AGAGAGACACATGTAGACACAGAGAGACACAGAGAGACACATGTAGACACAGAGAGACACAGAGAGACACATGTAGACACAGAGAGACACAGAGAGACACATGTAGACACAGAGAGACACAGAGAGACACATGTAGACACAGAGAGACACAGAGAGACACAGAGAGACACATGTAGACACAGAGAGACACAGAGAGACACATGTAGACACAGAGAGACACATGTAGACACAGAGAGACACAGAGAGACACATGTAGACACAGAGAGACACAGAGAGACACAGAGAGACACATGTAGACACAGAGAGACACAGAGAGACACATGTAGACACAGAGAGACACAGAGAGACACAGAGAGACACATGTAGACACAGAGAGACACAGAGAGACACAGAGAGACACAGAGAGACACACATCAGGGCGGGGCAGACAATCAAGACTGGGGAACACAGGACAGGAACAACAACTAAAAACCAAGCCCCGGCGATACAAGATGGCGGCGTATTCAAATGAATGGTTGTGCTCAGTGGCGCTTTGTGACGGCATGGGGGCGGAAAGATTAGCTTAAGTCTCCTGAAACTCTCAAAGATCTATGGGAAACTCGCCTGTATTTGGGCATCGTCTGGTCCTCCTGGTTCTGTGCAGTGGATGATCTCCCATAATGCTTTGCTCCAAACACACGTGTGTGGGTCTTACACCGGGTCTCACGCACGTGCACAGAGGGGCTCGGCCGCGCTCTGACCAATCAGAGCAGTTCATCAGAGCGGGAGTTAGAGCGAGAACCAGACGAGCAGAGTTTGTGGCACTAAAGTGTGGATTTAAACAAAACCGAAGGATTTAAGAAGAAAAAAAGTTCAGGATGACAAGGGACACTAAAATCCCCACAAAATCCGACCTTTATGAAAGCTGTAGGTTCTCTGTCAGGTTCTCTGTCAGGTTCTCTGTCAGGTTCTCTGTCAGGTTCTCTGTCAGCTGAGGTTGAGTTGTTTTAATATTCATTGAGTTCTATGGGGAACATTTCTGTGTAGCCCACGTGAATTTAGTCTGGTTCAGTCTGGTTCAGTCTGGTTTAGTCTGCAGTACCGCGAGAATTCCCCGGGCACGTGAGTTATTCAGCTACAAGCTGTAATACCCTATCCAGTTATTACACTTGCTTTCTTGCAGTCATGTGACGCATAAACTTCCGGTTGACGGAGTGGTGGTCAGGCCAGCAAGAGTTGCTGCTGATATATGAAGAAAATGCGACTCTTCCGAGTATTTCTTTGCTTTTTTGGATATTTCATGACACTTTGAAGCTACTGTGGTGAACGTTCTAACTCAGCATTCTAACAATATGCACAAGGCAGAATTTTTCCACTACATGTTTTGGTAATATCAAGGTTGAAGCTACTGGCACCGCAGTAAATGCTATTATGCTAATATGCTAATAAGTCTCCATTCCTCCGCTGTATGTCACTTACATTCTGTAACGTCTTTGTTAATGCTGCCTCTACCATCGACAAAAAACAATTAAAGACAAGATCCTAGACTGTCTTTTTATTCACTTTAGATTCTAACCCACAGCTAGTGTTACAAGCTTTTGCACTGCTAAACAAATGAAGGTTTGGATAAACACGGATACTGCAAAAGGCAGATTCAGACACGCTGCTCTAGTGAACAACTAGCTCGGCTGACCACCACTTCATGATACGCATACGTAATGAGGCGGACGTGACGTCAATTGCAAGCAAGCAATAGATCCATGCTAAAAACCAAATCACAGAGAATCAATTTCAAAATAAAACAAAAATACAAAAATAAAACCCACACCATGACCTTCTTTATAATGCTAAAGCTAAAGATTTTACACTATTAGCTTCTTTATTATGCTAAAGCTAAAGATTTTACACTATTAGCTTATTTATTCTGCTAAAGCTTTTAGGGTTAGGGTTTATTTATTATATTTTATTTAGTTTTAGTACAGTATGGCGTTATTGTTTAGTTATCTTGTGCTGTGTGTTCCTCTTTCCTACTGTTCTGTAACTTGTGATGCAACACTGACATTTCCCCACCGTGAGACGAATATCTTTTAAACTTAATTTCATACCAGAAAAAGTTCAAAGCAAAATGTACCGCTAATGCTAAAGATCCCTGTGAGTCACTGTTTCACTTATTACGACCGAGAGCGAATTGAGTGACTGTTTTCTGTCTATTTACACTCATTTATTCAACTCTAGCGATAGGGTGGATTTCAGAAAAAATCCACGTACCCCAGCTTTAAACGACACATGCAAAAAACCGTGTTCAATTATTCTTTATCACAAAATCCGACAGTATATTTCCTCGAGGCAGCCGCAGCAGAAGCAACCATTTCACGGAACCTTTTGACATCCTTCGCCGTGTTTTGTGTGTGTTTGACCAATTTCGCCAAAAGAGAAAAAGGAAAAAAAAAAAAAAAAACTAAAAAAAGTCTCCTTTCTGTGTCCCGGGGAAAAAAAGCCTTGGGTTATGAACAAATCAGCAGCAGCAGCAGGAGGGAGTATTGTTCCCTTTGGTTAGCTCGCCGCGGTCTTTAACCCCGTCCTGTCAGCGGATGGATAATAAGGATGGGACGGACGGGCGAAAAAAGGTAGGTTAAAGAATCAGAGAAGGCCGTTTGGAGAGACAGAGAAAGGGTGAGGTGAGAGCGAGGCCTCTGTGGTCGCAGCAGAACACCGGGTGACCTCAAATCTCTGGGCTCTGAGCCACAGATCTGAGCCACAACCCGAGACAATATGTAGGAAAATAACAAATATATCACGGTAGAGAAATGCCACACTCCCTCCAGACTTTGTCTTCATGGTTCTCTTTGCGCTTCAAACAGAACCCTGAGACTATCAAAGAGCAGGTGCATTTATACGGAGACTTGATTACACACAGGTGCATTCTATTTATCATCATCAGTCATTTAGGACAACATTGGATCATTCAAAGATCCTCACTGAACTTCTGGACTGAGTTTGCTGCACTGAAAGTAAAGGGGCCGAATAATATTGCACGCCCACCTTTTCAGTTTTTTTATTTGTTAAAAAAGTTTAAATCATCCAATACATTTCGTTCCACTTCACGATTGTGTCCCACTTGTTGTTGATTCATGACAAAAAATTAAAATTTCATATCTTTATGTTTGAAGCCTGAAATGTGGAGAAATGTTGAAAGGTTCAAGGGGGGCGAATACTTTCGCAAGGCACTGTACATACAGACCTCTGTCTCAGTATACATACAGACCTCTGTCTCAGTATACATACAGACCTCTGTCTCAGTATACATACAGACCTCTGTCTCAGTATACATACAGACCTCTGTCTCAGTATACATACAGACACAATAATACTTTGACCACAGTGTAACAAAACCCAACATTTTCTCTTTTGATACTTTATTACTTTGAATGCAAAAAAATAACTTTTTCAGAATCCCATTGATCTGAACGGGAGCAGTCAAAATGAGTTCTTGCAGTTTCCAAATTCTGGCAATCCTAGAGTTAAACGACTTTCACAAGCTTTTTGATCGATTGAACCCGGACTGGGCCCGTTATCTGATTCTCCCCCTCTCCTCCTGTAAACGCAGTATACATCTGATACTTTGAAGTACAGACCAGTGGAGTACTTACTGCTCTTTGGGCTCGAGGCTCTTTGCTCGGACTGTGATTATGATGTTGAGAAGTTGGCAAACATTAAAGCAGTAAAGCATTGCTAGCTGCCCGCGGGAGGCCGAGCAGACTCCGCCCCCAGACCACACATTAAAGAGAGGTGAGGCTCTGGCCCCGGAGTCAGATCGGGTCAGATACGAGATCAAATGTCCATCTCCCCCACAGAGCTTTGTAAGCAGCCGCCGCAGCACTTTTCACCAGGAGCTAATACCGCTAATGGGTCCAGGCTAGCAAGCGCGATCCCCAGAGACTCCAACGATCCAGGCCCAGACCCAGACCCCGACCCAGCTGCTTCTGAGGGACAAGCATGGATGATGATGGTCATGACATGTTAGTGCCATATGAACCAACTAGGACTCTGAGGAGCACAGGGACTGGCCTCCTGCTGGGACTCTGAGGAGCACAGGGTCTGGTCTCCTGCTGGGACTCAAAGGTCTGCTTCTGGCTCCTCCCCCTACTCTGGCCTGCTTCTGGCTCCTCTCCCTACTCTGGCCTGCTTCTGGCTCCTCCCCCTACTCTGGCCTGCTTCTGGCTCCTCCCCCTACTCTGGCCTGCTTCTGGCTCCTCTCCCTACTCTGGCCTGCTTCTGGCTCCTCCCCCTACTCTGGCCTGCTTCTAGCTCCTCCCCCTACTCTGGCCTGCTTCTGGCTCCTCCCCCTACTTTCTTCTGGCTCCTCCCTTTTCTTCCACACAGATCCACCACTTGTGAGTCAAAAGTTCTGCAAATATTTCTTTCCAAACAAAACACCTTCTGAAATCACACTCAAATCCCAAAAACGCAAACAAAACCTATTACAGGAGCTTGCGTGTTTGTAATTACCTCCCCCCCCCTCCCATCCCCTCCCCTCTTCTTCTACTGTATATATTAGAATGGGACAGAATGTGCCAAACAGCGCGTCTGCCGCAGGAAAATGAACTGTCAGGGTTGATTGAAACCACCGCCACTCTTCGATATCACGCCGTCTTATTGCTTCCCCCTTTTTCAGCACTTTCCTCCCGATCCCCCGCTCTGCCTTCTTCCTCCCGTCGTCGCGCTAATTTGCAATTGATTATGTGTCCTGCAGCGGCTGGCTCCCCTGCCCTGCCTCCTCCTCCTCCTCCTCCTCCTCCTCCTCCTCCTCGCTCATTCGCCTCCGCCCCTGCACTGTCGACGAGTCAATTCCTCTTTAACGAGCGCTACATTTCACTCCCTAGGCACCCGGGCCCTTCTGTGTAAATAAAACAGAGAGCCGAGCCAGAAATCAATGGGCCTATTACCCCCCTCCCCCTCCCTTGAAAATGCTAAACAAGCAATATTAGCAATTGGCCTGGAAGTGGAGGTCCCGGATGCTAATGGTGCGCTATAGATGCTCTCAGCCGCCGCACGCACTCCCGCTGCACGGCCGTATACTGTTACTGTCCTCGTCTGTGCATTATCTGAACTGGCCCCTGGGCGGTGTGCGGGGTGGGGGGGGGCATAAAAGCAGCCATGTAACTCACTGTGTTTATGTGCGAGGTGCAGATAACGGGGCGAGTCCAATTTAAAGTCGATTGATCGTGAGCTAAACAGGAGGCCTTAAATGGGCGTTACTACTGGGGCTATTGTACTGGCAGACACAGGGAGAACATGCAAACTCTGTACAGACAGGCCCTAATGGTAGAAATATAATACAGCTCCATGATATTTTCTCTATGTTTGTCCAATGTCCATGTCCAAATCCTACAAAAATGTGGCTCCAAACAGATACCTCCACTGGCTCCAAACAGATACCTCCACTAGCTCCAAACAGATACCTCCACTGGCTCCAAACAGATACCTCCACTAGCTCCAAACAGATACCTCCACTAGCTCCAAACAGATACCTCCACTGGCTACAAACAGATACCTCCACTAGCTCCAAACAGATACCTCCACTGGCTACAAACAGATACCTCCACTGGCTCCAAACAGATACCTCCACTAGCTCCAAACAGATACCTCCACTGGCTCCAAACAGATACCTCCACTAGCTCCAAACAGATACCTCCACTGGCTCCAAACAGATACCTCCACTGGCTCCAAACAGATACCTCCACTAGCTCCAAACAGATACCTCCACTATCTCCAAACAGATACCTCCACTATCTCCAAACAGATACCTCCACTGGCTCCAAACAGATACCTCCACTGGCTCCAAACAGATACCTCCACTGGCTCCAAACAGATACCTTCACTGGCTCCAAACGGATACCTCCACTGGCTCCAAACAGATACCACTGGCTCCAAACGGATACCCCCCAAACGGGGGGCGGCACGGTGGCTGAGTGGATAGCACTCTCGCCTCTCAGCAAGAAGGTCCTGGGTTCGAATCCCGGTCGGACCAGGGCCTTTCTGAGTGGAGTTTGCATGTTCTCCCCGTGTCTGCGTAGGTTTCCTCCGGGTACTCCGGTTTCCCCTACCACTAAAAAATATGTCCAATAGTTCTGGCATGCGCCTCCTGTACTGGCGACCCCGCTCCCATCTCTGTGTGGAGTGAGAGACAAATGCCCAAAATTAACAATTGTAAACCGCTTTGAGACTCAGATCTGCAGTGAAAAGGCGGTATATAAATAAAAACTTACTTACTTACTTACTTACTACCTCCACTGGCTCCAAACGGATACCTCCACTGGCTCCAAACAGATACCTCCACTGGCTCCAAACGGATACCTCCACTGGCTACAAACAGATACCTCCACTGGCTCCAAACATATACCACTGGCTCCAAACAGATACCTCCACTGGCTCCAAACAGATACCACTGGCTCCAAACAGATACCTCCACTGGCTCCAAACAGATACCACTGGCTCCAAACAGATACCTCCACTGGCTCCAAACAGATACCACTGGCTCCAAACAGATACCTCCACTGGCTCCAAACGGATACCTCCACTGGCTCCAAACAGATACCACTGGCTCCAAACGGATACCTCCACTGGCTACAAACAGATACCTCCACTGGCTCCAAACAGATACCTCCACTGGCTACAAACAGATACCTCCACTGGCTCCAAACATATACCACTGGCTCCAAACAGATACCTCCACTGGCTCCAAACAGATACCACTGGCTCCAAACAGATACCTCCACTAGCTCCAAACAGATACCTTCACTGGCTCCAAACAGATACCTCCACTGGCTCCAAACAGATACCACTGGCTCCAAACAGATACCTCCACTGGCTCCAAACAGATACCTCCACTGGCTCCAAACATATACCACTGGCTCCAAACAGATACCTCCACTGGCTCCAAACATATACCACTGGCTCCAAACAGATACCTCCACTAGCTCCAAACAGATACCTCCACTAGCTCCAAACAGATACCACTGGCTCCAAACAGATACCTCCACTGGCTCCAAACAGATACCTCCACTGGCTCCAAACAGATACCTCCACTGGCTCCAAACAGATACCACTGGCTCCAAACAGATACCTCCACTGGCTCCAAACAGATACCTCCACTAGCTCCAAACAGATACCTTCACTGGCTCCAAACAGATACCTCCACTAGCTCCAAACAGATACCTCCACTGGCTCCAAACAGATACCTCCACTAGCTCCAAACAGATACCTTCACTGGCTCCAAACAGATACCTCCACTAGCTCCAAACAGATACCTCCACTAGCTCCAAACAGATACCTCCACTAGCTCCAAACAGATACCTCCACTAGCTCCAAACAGATACCTCCACTGGCTCCAAACAGATACCTCCACTGGCTCCAAACAGATACCTCCACTGGCTCCAAACAGATACCACTGGCTCCAAAACGAAAGCTACTTTAAAAAAGCAATTTTAGCACAATTACTTTTTTAAGTAATTGTGCGAAAATTATCATCTCTACGTTGATTTTTCAAATCCAATGCACTGTTTTAATGCAGAGAAATCCTCTGAATCCAATGCACTGCAAGCGCAGAGAAAAGCGTTTAGGGAGCGTCAACAAATATCAACCCCAGCTTTGTAAACGAACAATAGCTTTTACTGAAGCCATGTACCTGCACAAAACTCTCAGACAATATAAATAATGACCATATCTAGCTGCTGCAGGCTTTGATTTCAACATTTGTGATTTTTTTTTTAAATAAATACATATGTTTTTCTTTTATTTTTTGCTTTTACAGTAAATTGTCTTTACTGTAACATACATAAATAATGTATGCTACAGCATTTGTCTTTTTTATATTTCTTATTACTAAAAAGAATGCATGAGTTCCTTATCCAGCCAAAGAGTTCCACCTATTTATTAAACTTCATTTTTGAGTAAGGATTGTTTTTTTTTTATATGTAGTCAATCAATTACATTCTAAAAACTGTGATTATGAAATTCCATGATTAGTAAGTAAGTAAGTAAGTAAGTTTCTATTTATATACCGCCTTTTCACTGCAGATCTGAGTCTCAAAGCGGTTTACAATTGTTAATTTTTTTGGGCATTTTGTCTCTCACTCCACACAGAGATGGGAGCGGGGTCGCCAGTACAGGAGGCGCATGCCAGAACTATTGGACATATTTTTAGTGGTAGGGGAAACCGGAGTACCCGGAGGAAACCTACGCAGACACGGGGAGAACATGCAAACTCCACTCAGAAAGGCCCTGGTCCGACCGGGATTCGAACCCAGGACCTTCTTGCTGAGAGGCGAGAGTGCTATCCACTCAGCCACCGTGCCGCCCGATTACTGTGTAGATTGAAATTAGGACTAAAAACCGACCCGATCCACCCAAATGGTGTCCCTTAATTTTTTGTTCTCAAGTTGGCAACCCTATGCACACCTGAGCTCTAACCCTGTGGCGACCGGGATTCAAACCCAAGACTGTCTTGATGAGAAGCACAGGGCTAACCACTCAGCCACCATGTTGCCTAAACCAGGACCAGTTCAGGACCAGCATCTTGGAGAGAAATGAGCGGCCATAGAATGTTGGTTGCTAAGAGACTGAATTCGAATGAAAGGAGCAGTCAAAAAGACTGTTCTGGGAGTTAAAGGAGCAGTATGTAAGATTATGGCCAAAAATGGTACTGCCAGATAAGCAGATGAATCCACCATAATATCTGAATAAAGAGTTTTGTCAACAACAAATCTATAACCAACACCTTCTTCACAAAGATAGAAATCCTGGTTTTATTCCTTGTTTGAGAATCATAACGAGACCTTTTTTAGTTCTGCGCCACATGGTACTTTACCAGTGAGATTAGCTCCACGCGGTGAGTTCTGGTGCCCGGATCACAGACTTTCTGATTGGTGAAATGGTGGAGGGCGGGATATAGAAATGAAAATTTAAGGGCTGTAAAACTAATGTTGAAATTCAAATGTCTCTGAACTACAGTTATCAGTTAAAGAAGTGTTGGAAAAGAGTAGGTTTTATCAATGCCTTTGGACAGATTAAGGGCCCTTTAACTCGTTGTGCCATTGACGCATTAATACGTCAATTGCGTTTTCAGCTATTTTCATGTTCCCAGATGTCTATTAAATCTGATATGTATGGGGATTAGGTTTAGACCATATTTTATCAAGCCAGCAGGGGGCAGCAGTGCTCTCTGGATGGTTTTCAAACAGCTAGATGCACTTGTTGAGCCTCTTTTTTCTCAGATTTTTGGTGATTTCAGTCAAACTTCCCTCTACTTGACTTGGGATTACAGGGGAACTGTCATGGTTTAGATTTATTTCCTGTTTTATTTTGTAGTTTGTTATATCCCTGTCTTCTTTGGTTGTACTTCCTGTTTGATGACCTGCCCTGCCCTCATGTGTCTCACCTGTGTCTTGTATTTAGCCCTGTGTG